ATGTTGCATCATACCAAGCATATTACATTCTAGTTTAACCTGGGGTCCGGCAGCTTCCATCACTGCTTTGAAGACACCTTAAATAAATGAGAAAGCATGTCAGTTCACTAAGTCAGTTTAACTGCTGTTACCCAAAAATCACATCACACCTGTATGAAAACTCTCATAAACCTTGGAATAGCAGGGTTGGAAGGGACCTCAGATCATCTAGTCCAACCCCCTGCTCAAAGCAGGACCAATACCCAACTTTTTTTTTTTTGGCCCCAGATCCCTAAATGGCCCCCTCAAGGATTGAACTCAAACCCCTAGGTTTAGCAGGCCAATGCTCAAACCACTGAGCTATCGCATACTATAGTTTCATGCACTAACAGCCAAATTCTGCATTCCTTGAATAGCCAAAACTCGCATGGGGCCACATCCTACAAGATGCTGAGCCCCACCAATTCCCATTGTGTTCAGTTATCTGCATAACATCTCATATTGCCTGCAAAGAATATACTCCATTTATGAATTAACTTTATTTCATAGCTCTCTTGGTTGACAGTACGTCAGTTACCAGGCTACATTACCTGACAGATTGCCTCTTTCTCTGTGTCATGCTGCTACTGCTGGGGTCAGCAGAGATGTTCAAGTTGAAGCCCCCTTGATACAAATGAGTGAGGGCTTCTGGCAGGGTGTTTTCTAAGTTTGTGAACCTTCTAGGCAAGGGGCAAGGCCCATCTTATTTCTTAGGCTCCTGAGGAGGAGGGCGGACTAAGTGTTGGCAGGGCGTGGTGAATGTTAATTTACTTATTGGCAGTCCTTTCTATTACCTGGCCCATTGCATATATTAGCTAATTGGCCAGGCCCCCAGGAAGCAGAATAAGCACCTACCAATATATTTAGAATTTTTGTGGGGGAAATCAACATTACAGCATAGGATAGAGAGAGGGAGAACAAGAGGGTTGTCTCTTCAGGCGGCTCTGACTTATGCCCGGGTACCAACCCAGCATATCAATCACCCAGGCTCAGAGAAGCACAAAGATGGCTTGATGTCACCTTTGCCACTCCACTCTGCTTTAGACTGTGCGCTCACGAGCAGCAACTGACAATGTGGGCCACTGTGTCAAAAGAAATCTCAAATAACTGTGTTGGGATACCCTGATATTATTTTGTGTCATGAGGTTGTATTGCTATGAGTTAGCATTGCGCTTCTATCTTGAAACATCCCAACGCAATGTCAGGACAGCACTCAGCCATTATTTATTAGCTCTCTTCAATTCTATTACACGAAGAGGCTCTCAAATGCTGCAAAGCTGGGTACCACTGGTCTAAGTGATACTTTTCACAATGGAAAATTACCATTGGGAATAGCACTAACATTGGAGAACCACAGCCCAGAAATGAAAGGACAAGACCGATGGCCTTTAACGTAACAAATTAACACAAAGCGCAGACATTTGCCACCCCACTTTTCCAGTGTGAAAAAAAACTTTATAAAAGTTTTGCATATTGAAAACGCTCCCTCCATTTCCAATACGTGGCAGTGAATTTATCATTAAATTCATGTATATTCAATAAAGTACCTGATTTGGCATTAAATGATGAATTTGATATGTTTACAATCACATCTGTATTTTCCTTGGTGATATCTCCAGTTGCTACCTGGAGTGTAATCGAACCAAACTGCATTTCATGAACTCCCAGTACCGGGGTTGAAACATGCCCAAAGGAAACTGCAAGGAAAATAAAAATACATTTAAGAGTGGTCTGTCCTAGTAAAAGTGCTATTCCCTTGAGCTTATGTATGCTTTGTAAGTTCAGTACAGAGTTCACAGATTGGGATCCCCAGACATAAAGTATCGTCTTTGACTCCAATATTCCCTAACCCAGATTTTTTACTGTTGCTTTCTATTATTCAGTCCATAGGACCCGGGAAACAGAGAACTCATTCAGTTTAAATACCGTGGATACATTAAATGCTACTCCCATTGATGTAGATGCAATTTTGCTATGAACTTCAATGGAAGAGGGAATAGGTTCTACATTCTCCTGAACGAATTTCTGGTGTTGCGTGCTGTTCACTCACATACTGTGCTGTCAGCATTTCCCTCCTGTAAATTAATAAATGGAAAGGAACTACATCTGCTGGATACCTTTGTGTGGACCATTCAAGTTACAGAGGTAAGGGGGTAATCTTCACAGATGGCCTAAAAGGGCACAAAGGGAAATGATGCTGTTGAGAGCCCTTGGTTGGCTGCTCGTGTAGCATGTTATCTGTGGTTCGCTTGGCATAGTGATTGCATCTTTATGATCCCAGCAACCACTGCAATCTATCGGTATAGTACTAGTGGATTCTCCTCCATGTAGTAAGGTTGGCAGCATCCCTGAAGAGCAAGAATGTCACCATAACAAAATATTTTCTCCCCTGAGTTTTTCACCTCCCGGGTTTAGGAATGTCAGTTCATTAGACTATGTTACGTCTTGGTGACATTCTCCTGCCAATTGCGTATTTATAAAACCCAATCCAAATAAATAACCTTACTTGGACTCGATGATGCAGCCTGGAGATTCCCATTGGTCCTAGATTCTAGTTCATCTGTAAATGCCTAGAAATAGAATCAAAGGTACTGCAGACAAGGTTTCAGAGATTTGCCCAACAGAGACAGATTCAAACCTGGCTAGTCTCATAAGTAAAATTAACAGCTATGTATCTGCATGCACATAATGTTCACCTTACAGCAGAGTCTAAGTGTCAGTGGTGGTAGTAATGGGAAATTTTGTGGAAACAAGGTGCTGGTAGTTGCAGGTATTTTTACTACTGTGTCACCTAGAACTGCTCTGAGCAGGGTTAGAAAATACAGCATTTAAAATGCCTACAAGCCTGGGAATCTCGTCTACATTAATACAACATTTCTACCAGTAGTGGAGCTGAGCCAGTAATAGCAAAGGGGAGAAACATTTTGGGAGCCTAATGCAGACTGAACCTTAAAATCCTGAGCCTACTGAAAAACTTTACACTGCTAAGCAGTTACTTTGTTCTGAATTGGTTAGCTGCTTTTTGGCACCATCTAATGCCATCTAGTGCAGCACCTGTCACTTGCATGCAGAAGCACTGGTGCTTAAGAAGTCTGAGTGGGGAATCAGGTTTGAAAATCAGGAACCTCAGTTCGGAAACAATGTTGAATATATGCACATTATATTCATGCGTACACAGAGTAAAGATACACACATACAGGTTTTCTGAATTCCTCTTCCCCAGAGTTTTATTACTGGCTACATATGAAAGAAAACAGGATTTTTTTATTTTTTGTTTTAGGGGTCATCTGCTTATACTCCACTTTAAGTCAAAAGTCATCTGTTTGTGACATCACAATTGATTGCTATGGAAACAATTATACTGTCACCTGCAGAAGATAATGACTACCTGAGGAATAAGCAGAAGGATCTGATTAAACAAATAATCTATTATCATGCAAATATCTCTATTAATAATGAGCAAAGGAAAACAACCAACAAAAACAGAAAACAAGTGGTATACAGGAGAAAGGTTTCTCAAGAGGGTGAAATGCTGGTCCCAGTGAAGTCAATGGGTAAAACTCCTTTGACTTCAGTGGCACCATGATTTCACCCAGCATGTTTTCAGATTTCTATGAGGAAGCAGCTGATCTTTCAGAGCCCAATCCTGCAATCCTCACTTAGTGGGCCAAATCCTAAGGTCCTCACTCACTTTTCTCTAAGTCTTCACTAGGGCAAACTCCCATTCAACTAAACCAGAGTTTGCCCGAGTAACAATTTCAAAGAATCCAAAATATTGAGATCAACAGCACCTCTCTCATGAACATGGATGTCCCATGTAAGGGTCACAGGATCAGGCCCACTGAGACATCAGTCTTAACCTGTCACTAAAATAATTTATAATGAATATAATAAATTAGGCCTTTAAAAACATTATAACTAATTCATATTGATAATAAATAACTAAAAGAGTGTGTAATAGGAAAAACATTAACATGAAAGAAATTACCTGAATATTATCTGTATCTCTTGGATGCAACAGAAAATGAACTTCCTGAAGAGACTTCAAGTTGTGGTTACTACTGAATTTGAACACTTCATCAAACATTAATTTAGCAACAATGGGTTTAGGAAACCCAAACCCGCCAGTCCCGATTGCTGGGAACGTGATTGAACGTAGAGACAGCTCTTCGGTTTTCTTCAGACATTCTTTGACTATGTCTTCTAGGTTCTGTATAAAAAAACCAGCAACATTTGTTTCTGTCAACATGGTCTTTATTCTTTAATCCCAAACAGCGTCTGTTGGTCCTAAAAAACCCACCCCTCATTATTAAACATGCATCACACACCTTGAGGTCATTCAAACTGAAATAAATGCAGCTGATACTCCCTGCTCACTACTATGTAACTTCAATACAGGATCCACATTAAATCAATTTGCATGTTAAATGAGGAGCACCTTCAAACAAAATCAATGCTCTGAAGAAAATTTATAAAGACCGTTACCGTCATGGCACCGCCTCTTCCTTGATCCCATACAGGAACAACAGCATGGAACAGAAAGCTGCAGGCCAGATTACATCCACTTGTGTGGAACACGGACCCTTGAGTAGGTACTTGTCTTTGGCTTTCTTCATTGAACTCTAGCTGGAGCGTTGGTCCAGCCTTCTGCAGCAAACTTTGAGACAGTGGACCTACACCAAGCCGCAGATCCTGGCCAACACTGCTTACGATCACGTCCGTCTGAAAGAAAAACAAAACAAAAATATTTCGAACAGGATCTTAAATGGAAGTGTTTACTAGCACCAATAGACTGTGTAAGTAACACACGCTGCAAGAGGCAATGTGTTAACACAGACATGAGGTTCTCAGCAAGAGCTCTGCATACTAGGTATATAGAGGTGTCAATGCATCATGGGAGTACAGGAATCCTGCACTTTGCTTCTTGACATTCCCTGCAGCATTTTCTAAATTCTTCTGGGAAGAATTTCTGTTGCGCAGCTACTCCTTCCCAGGGCAGTTTCCCAGCAGCACCAACAGAAGAAACAGCTGCACCAAAACGAAACTGAAGCAAATTTAGGCCAAAACACTTATGCCCTTGAGTAAGGCTACGATTTTGTCATGGACATTTTTAGTAAAAGTCAGGGAGAGGTCACAGGCAATAAACAAAAATTCACGGAAGCCATGACCTGTCCCTGACTTTTACTACAAATGTCCATGACAAAATGGAGAGGGAGGAGGGTCCAGCACTCTGCCCTGCTGTGGCTGGGAGGTGGGAGGGACCCCAGCCTGTGGTGGCTGGGGAGCTGCGGGGGATCCCTCCGCCTGGGGACTAGGGAGCTCTGGGGGATTCCCCCCTACAGGCAGAGGAGCTACAGGGAACCCCCGCATCTACGATGGCTGGGAAGCTCCAGAGGTCCCCTGCACCAGCGGGGACCCGCCCACGGCCGCTGAGGAGCTATGGGGGACCCCGCCCACACCTGCGGCAACTGGGGAGCTCTGGGAGATTCTCCGGGTGGCGGCAGCAGCTGTGGAGCTGCTGGGGGTCCCCTGCCACCCATGGGGCTGGGGAGCTCTGGGGGATTCCCCCCCCCATGGAGGCTGGGGAGCTGCAGGGGATTCCCTCCCCTCCCCCCACCACGGAGGCTGGGGAGCTCCGGGGGATTCCCCCCGCTCGTGGGGACTGGGGAGCTGCAGGGACCCCCCGCACCTGCTGCAGCAGGCGTACCCCACAGCTCCCAGCCACCACAGGAGGTGGGGGTACCCTGCAGCTCCCAGCTGCTGCAGGCTGAAGTCCCGGAGGTCTGCGGAAGTCATGGATTCCATGACTTCCGCGACCTCCGTGACCAAAGCATAGCCTTACCCATGAGTTATGTCTCTGATGTCACATACACCTGTAACCTTGGGGCTCTTCTCCCTCCCCACAACTGAGATGGGACAGGATGCTACTTCTCAGAAAAGCAATATCCCAGAGATAAAACCTGGGTGGTAGAAACCGAGGCAGTCTGTTTGCATCATAAAGACACAGTAAAGAGCAAAACCCACAATTTTTTGTTTTGTAGTTCCCCACTAACATTAAATACAGAGGAATTTTTAATGGGTTATTGGGTTAGCTAGCGCTGTTACTGCAAGAGAACTTACAAATATAAAGCTTTCAAAGAGAGCAGCCAATAGCCAGTGCAATAAGACCACACTTTATGAAGGAGCACCACAACTGGCTGTGGTGAGTCAGAGAGGGGATGTTTAATTAAAAAGAAAAATCAGGGGCTATTAAGATGTACAGACTACTGAGATGCACTTGGAGCCACTAATATAAAAACAAACACTAAGGGTGTAATAAGGAGTCACACTGGACTACACAAAGACACTCCAATTAAGCCAGTCTGAAATGCATCAGCTGAGCTCTGGATAAGCAGAGAGTGTGAAAACCAAAGTGCAGTTAGTTCAGGTTTCCAACCTACTGATCCAGCCTTCAGCAAAAGCAAATTAAGCAGCCGCTTCTGGTCTTGCTCTTTCAATACTCCTGCAAGTTGTACAACTCAGACTCAGCACCATGGCCTTCCCCAGTGGAGGCAGAAGGGAAGGAAACTCCCAGGACACCCCCTGTACAGTAGCAAGACCAGAGAGGATGGCACCTCATGGCCTGGATTCCCTTCTATCAGCTTGGAGCACTATGAATAACAGTGTTAACCCTTCTAACGTCAATTCAGTTTGTTGAAAAGGCCAATTATTTTGTATGTTGACTCTAGACCTAGATGTAAACGTTGTGGCTTGGGTCCCTCTCCCATTTATTGATTTAATTAACACACTATGTGTGTTTCATTATAGAATACTGATTTTAGACATCAAGTTAACCTAGTATCTTCTCATTTCCCAGTTAACTTTGAGAAAAATCTTTATATGAAACTGGGTAATATCTGATAAATTAAAACACCTACTGTAGCATCCTGAATGTCTCTCTTCTCCAGTATGACACTCAGACCTTCATCCGTTGTTACCATCTGGAGACCCTTTCTGTTCTGAGCACCTCTACTTTCTCTGGGCTGGTGGCCTGTTTTGGACTGAGGCAATAAACTGAGTTGGGGTGATTTCTCTGTGAACACGTCTTTCAAGGCATCAGTGAGAACCTGAACTGTTTTTTCTGTAAAGTCCACGAGATGAATCTCCCTCAGGCAGCTTTCCCCTGGAGAATCTTCCAAGGTTTCCTTGATGGATTTTGCAATTGACTGTGCACACAGTTTTAACGGAAATCCAAATATCCCAGAGCTGATAGCAGGGATGGCTATGGAATGATGATTGTACGTTTCAGCCAGCTGTAGGCTTTCCTTTATTGCTCTTTTTAACAGGCGCACACACTTTTCTGGTTCGTGATCCCTCCACCTGGGCCCAACAGCATGAATCACCTGTTTACATGGGAGGTTCCCAGCATCTGTAATAACAGCACGGCCGGGCTGCAAAGGGCCTCGTTTCCGCACAATATGGTCACATTCTGTTTGTAGTTCTGGCCCTGCAGCTTTTAAAAGTGCCTCAGCAAGGCCACCAATATGCTTTAAGTCCTCATTTGATGCATTCACCACAACGTCAGCTGGATGACTGCACAAGTCCCCTTTATAAACTGCTACTACAATTCCATCTTGCAGGATCATTTTACAGCGGAGCTGTTTTGTCGTATCATTACCGGTTTCACCATCTTCTCTTTGTTCTTCTCCATCTTCTTGCAGCCTGATCAGACAGTTAAATTGATGCTTTACCTCACTAACATACAAGCGTTCTTTGTCTCTGAAAAATGCTTTGGCACCCGGTTTATCAATTAACACATTTGTAGAATATAGTGAAGATAGAATTTGTTCAATCAGGTGGATGCCCTTCAACACTTCTACCTTTGGTCCACTCAGGGAAATACTTTTACGTGAAGTCTGTGTGCCAAAATTAATTGTCACATCTTTCTTTCTCAATTCATGACAAACGTGGGATTTTTCCTTCTCTATGAACTGTACAACTGCCACAGACTGAACTGGGATTAATTTTTGCACTTGTGTGTTTCTATCTACAAACTCAGAAAGCTTTCGATAAGCTTCTGCTACAGCTTTAGAATAACCAGCAATAACTACTTTCTGATCTCCTTCCAGAGGGAGCAGGTCATCCATTATTAGGGTTTCCTGGGATGCATTATATGTCTTGTACAAGATGCTAGTGAGTTCCCTCCATTCTCTCTTTTTGATAACTTCTCGGTCTTCCAGAGGAATGCATTTATAGTCTAACTCTGTCTTCATTCGTTCTTCTGCTTCTAAGAGAACTTCAGGACAGTCTCCTACCAGCAGTACAGTATCATTCTCAAGCTGATAAAAGGCATTGACTTGATTTGTCACAAATAAGCTCTGTGACAGAGTTTCATTATCGATGTGCTGTAGGAACTGGAAAATCTGAGGATGAATAGTAATTGACTTCTGTGCCATGTTCTGCACCTTTTCCAGTATGTCACTTTTGACTTTATAAACTTCTGCAGGTACTCCACATAGGCTAATTGTCTTCTTTGCAGCATCATAAGAGATCTTTAAGCATGGGTACTCCTTGTAAATATTCTTCTCCAGCCCAGCATTGTGTAAAATTGCATACTTTCCTGGGGGAACTGACATAGTTATTTCTATTTTTTGCTTTTCCCTTTTTGTTTCTCTCACAGCATTTTCCATATGTTCGTTCAGTTCTTTCTCCACATCCTCCACAGCCAGCATGTCACCTGCTATGATAACCATTTCCTTAGAAATGTCAGGTATAGTCAACACATGGTCCGTCGCCAATCTGTTTTTTATGGCTTCCCAAACCACTGCATTTACTTTACACTTACTAGTCTTGTACTTTGACATGACACAAGAGAACTCAGTGGAAACATCCTCTTTCCAAGTCCCAATCAACTTAATCATTGACCTTCTCTGTTTAGACAAAGTTGCTGAAGGACACAATGTAATTTCTGGATATGTACATTTGGCTTGGGGCCATTTTAGCTCACAATGGCAATTTTCCATTTCCTGGTTTATTTCTTGGATTAGTCTATCATGGCTCTGTAAAAACTGCAAGATGTAAGGATCCACTGGGATTCTAATTGGTTCTGGCATCTTTATTAGTGGTCTCTTCTCTCCATAAAGAGCTGTACCCAAAGAACTGTAGTATGGATATACAGAAATTGATGTTTGATCAAGGGAATGCTGCTTTCCCAAGACAGTGTTCAGATCTAAAAATTAAAATATACAAAGAATTTCAATAAAAATTTAAAAAATCAGCCTGAATATTAAATAGAATAACAATTTGTCTTTTGTGTCTATTTCTGTGTTTTAAGGCTTCCAAAACACTATTTTCAGAGGGGTGGAGGAATCAGGATTCTGTTTTCTATTTGTTTCATTAAGTACACCCGGGCATTATTTAACTTCACAGTTATGCTTTACTATGAACCCTTATTGAGAGATGGGCATGGAAGGGTGCCATATCAAAAGGAGGAGCAAATATTTCTTATTCTAAACTTTATCAAAAGAACTCTTGGTCCACTGCTCATCCAGAAAGTTATGTCAATTTTGGGGGCATTTTCCTGCCATTGTAAATGGGATATAGACAACGCAAAGGAAAATGTGATTGATGAAAGTACAAAAACTGCCATTACCATGAGCCAGGTTATACATCAAAGTCTAACATACTGAAACTTCTTAAGTAATCATTTAGCTTATTAGACAAAAATAAGTCACTTACCTGAGGTCTTCAATTAAAAGTCAAACAAAATTATTCTGGAAACCTTGGGACTCTGAATGCAGGGAGTTATTTATTGGAGGTGACCCTAACACTAGAATGGGGCATTGGTTTCATGCTGATTCAAAGGAAACATTGCAACCTACTGAATCATCACCACTTAGACATATCCTGTCCAGATGCAGAAGAAATTTGACCCTGCTTAGCTTATGAAATCCAAACAGATCACAGCTCAAAGTGGTTTAAAGAACCTGCTTTCCCTATTGTCACATATAATAAAACTACGGTGAAAAACCATGGATGTGTTTATATTAAAAAACAACATCAGAGAGTCATCAATCCATGCATAACAGAGATATTAAAGGTTATATAAAGATAACACAGGATGGAATGGTTCTGGAACCCTGAACAGGCAACAAATACACAAAGGTATTTCTAGCGAACCAAACCATGAGATTCTACTTAATTCTTATTTAGATATAAACTTTCATTGGGTCAAGTTCTGAGATGCTGAGAACCTGCAAGTCACATTGAGGCCAATGTTGAGTAGAGGTTGCACAACACCTCCTGGAAAGAACTCAGAACCTTGGAACAGGGCTTAAGCACTTTACTTTTATGACACCAAACCTGACCTGGGTCTCTTAGTAGTAGTGTAGCCATTTACTTTCAGACACCAAGATGGTTAACCATTTTCTAAGAATATCATGTTCATTTTCTAATGAAAAGAAGTACTGAAAGTGAGACAGTATTACCTTTGTGATCACAAAAAGTAATGATAGCTGACTTCTCCTCACGGAAATGTTTAACATCTAATACTGGGCCACCTCCATTCTTTGGACTTTCAAAGTAGATCGTTATATAATCTTTAGGAACATTAGATGGTATGTTTTCAGCCTTGATGCTTTGTGTCAATTCAAGAAGTCTGGCAGTAATTTTAAAGTGTTTCATTCTGTTGTTTTGGGCACATATGTCCAAAAATTCCACGGTGTCTGAAATCAGAAAAAAGGCATTCATGAAACATTTTTTACTGTATCATTCTTAGGGCTCAGCTATGATTTCTGCAATGGTACTGAGTGGGGTTTGGTTCTGTTTACACTTGGAATGAAACCATTTTCAGCACTGGGCAAGTTTTCTAGTGTAAATACCACTGTGTTTGTGACAATGAATTCCCCAGGCCAATTGTGTAATAAGGTATTTATTTATTTTGTAATACATTATTTCCAATAATTAGTTTTAAATTAATTGTCTTTCAATTGTCCTTTTGTGCTTGTATTATATTTTGTTTTTGTATTTTGTTCTTGTAAAATAGGAGCACGCAATTTACTTTCTCAATACTATTCACTATTGTATTTCTCTGACATGTCTTCTATTAATCTCGTCTGCAAGATAAGTAGTTCTAATCTTTTTAATCTCTTGTCATATGGAAGTGTTTCCACACTGCTCATATTTTCAACCCATCTCTGGACTCCGTCCCCTCCTATCTTTTCTGAGATGGAATGACCAGAATGAAACACAGCACTCCAAGTGTGGTTGCACCATCAATTTATGAAGTTGGCATGATAATATTTTCAATATTATTTTCTCTCAACATCTTTCTACATCCTCACATTCTGGTTGCCTTTTTGATGATAGCTGCACACTGAGCAGATGTTTTCTAGGATCTGTCCACGGTGGTACCCAGGTCTTTTTCATGAGTGATTGTAGTCAATTTAGATCCCAATTTACTATTCAAATTTCTTTTATGGCAATTCTTTATGTATTAGGGGTTGGCCACCTTTTAAAACTACACATAAAAATTACTGTCAGTGTACATTCTGTCTTACCTATACGTTTTATAAAGGTAACTACAGCTGCATTTATTTCAGGTATCATTTCCATGCTGAAGTCTTTGTCTCCCGATAAGCCACTGATAGTCTCCAACAGCATAATTAACATGCATTCTGTGACAGACTCTTCTATATTTTCAAGCACAAGTAGAGATGAAGTTGTTTGGGGGTGTTCTTGAATATTCTCCACATGGCGTGCACTATTCTGCACTGAATGTTCCTTTCTTCGCAAGACTTCCTGCACATCTAGTTTGACATAAGTACAAATAAAAGGATGTCACTGGGTTACACAGTTGTACACACTCAATACATTTCATGGGGTAAAGATATTAGGGCAAACTCAATATTATTTTACGTTCTAATGTTTTAATTTTTTAAAACTTTCATCCTGTCTCTTTCTCTTAAAAGGACTCTTGCTTTCTCTTCTGGAAAAAGTAAAATGATTATGGGGACAAAAGCGTTGCTTAAGTTACTGTACACTGTAAAACATCAAAGGATTGTCAGACCTATCTACAGGAATATCACCTACAGGAATAGAGCCTCATCCACCACATCTGATAAAATGTCGAAAGCATACTACTCCCGAGGGCATTCTGCGCCAAAAAAATTAAAATTCTGTGCACAGTATTTTAAAATTCTGCAAATTTTATTTGTCAAATAAATGTGGAGGCTCCAGCATGGCACTGGGGAGCACAGGCCACTGGCTGCACAGAGGTGGGAGATCACTGTGTAGCTCCCCGCCCCTTCCCCAGGACATGGGCTCAGCGTTGAGGCTGCACCCAACCCTGACAGTGCAAGGATCTGACCTGTCCCAGAAACACCCCAGGACCCTGCCCCTGTGTGTGGGCAGGCAGGCTCAGCAAGGCAGGATCCAAGTGTGGAGAGGCTTAATCTGGGGGGATCCAGGTATGGGTTGATAGGATTCTGTGGGGGGCAATCTGGGTGCGGGCGGCTCAGTGGGGGATCCACGTGCGCGGGGGGTGGGTGGATTTGGATGCACAGGGACTTGTTGGGGGTTCTTGGTGCAATGGTAATGGGACTCTGCGGGGCAGCCAAGATGAAGGTGGTTGAGGCTCAGTGGGGTGTGTGGGGATAGAGCTCGGCAGGGGGGATCTGGACATGGGGGAGCTCAATGCAGGATCCAGATGCTGGGGGAATGGGGCTCAGTGGGGTGGGGATCCAGGTGCAGCTGGTTGGGGCTCAGTAGGGGGGATCTGGATGCGGGTGGCTCATCAAGGTGGTCCAGGTGCAGGGGGAATGGAGCTCATCGGGGGGCTTCTAAGTGCGGGGTAGGGGGTGAGGCTTGGCAGGAGGTTCTGGGTATAAGGGGATCTGGATGCATGGGGGTTGGGCAGATGGGGGAGCAGCTCCCTGTACAGGGATCCCTCTCCCTGCAGCTGAGGAGCGATGGGGAAGCGGCGGGCGGGGGGGAGGGGAGAGTGAGTTTGCATCGCTTCCTACAACCGGGGGAGAAATCTGGAGGTGGGTCAACCCGGCCCCAGATGCCGTGCGGGGGAAGAGGAAATCCTGTCCTCCCTAGCCCAGCTGTGACTAGCAACTGAGGCTGGCGTAGGGTAGGAGCCACCAGCTGGGTCTTCCCTGCCCCACCGTGATTTACCTCTCTGACGGCTGCCCTGGGTATCTGAAACATACTGCTGGAGAAGGTCGCATGACCGCTCTTGTGGCTTCCCTTTGCTTCCCCGTCAGAAAGTCATTTTTCTGCAGGGAAGCAAAGAAATATGCGGGGGACATAAATTCTGCGCATGCGCAGAATTCCCCCAGGAGTCAGCACACGTAAGCATAAGCTGAAGATGGTCTTAAGATACAAAACATGGCTGCAGATCCAAAGTTTGGAGATTTTTAATATTTGGGGTTATTTGGGGGCCCATCTCTAGCATGAACTAATACACCATAGATGCTAAATTTAAGTACCCATTGTTAGAAGCAGGGAAGAGCTAAGAAAAGAAGCACTGAATAAACATTCAGATAGAGGCAGCTATTTACTGCTATAGTTTATTGTAATGTCTAAAATAGGATTGAAGTTAAATTTTGAGAAATCAAAAATGTCTATAAAAGTAATTGTAACAACAGATGAATTTCCTGGTTAACCTAACTTCCTTAACCTGAAGACTGAACATTATTTTTTCACTGGTGATGATTAGTTTTGCTGTCGAAGACACTATTCTCTAGACCACACTTTGAATGAGAAAGTTTACCAGAGTACTGCTGGGAAGGGGGGGTCTAAGTAAGCTCATTAACATATTCATGAGAGGTATCATTTTTCATAGCAACATTTGAAGTTATTCCTTTATAGTTCTGCATTCTGCCGGCAACAGGATCTTCCACTGTGTCTTTTCAAGTTAGTATCACAATATGTGACTACACAACCTGACCCGAATACATGGGCATCAATGTAACTATGCCATAGAACCAGGAAATACTTGCAAGCACCATATTTCTGTACAAGAATCTTGAAACTAGAGGTATACACAGATCCCACACCTAAGCTTAACTTTTTCAACGCTTGTCCTCCACGGCTATTGTTCTTCCATTGGCATCCCATTGAAACCAATGGAATATGAAAGATAGTTTTGGATGTACCTGATAACCTGGTTCATTGACCAGACAGGTGGTGTGTTTTACCTAGTCATGCCTAGAATTTTCAGTGACAGTCAAGGTATTTAAGGGACACACCATGGCTATTTAAACCTTGAATGAGACAGGTTCATAAAAAGTAATGGAAAATTATTAGTTTCAAGAGCAAGTTTAGCTTAGTGAAGTTGTGTTTTCTGCACAGGGAGGAGAAAAGTGTCATAATAAAGTCTCAGGGTTTGAGCACTCTCAGTAGAATTGTGGTATAGGCACTTGCTGATCATGTCCCAGATATTCCTGTTTCTCAGCCACCTATCTTTCTGACCAGCTTCTGAAGCCAAACTCAGAGAGATCGTTCTGAATAACTCCCTACAGAAATACGGGTCAGTGGTGAATGAGAAGTTTTACCTCTAACACCAACATTTTCATTTTATGAAGAACCATACTGTTATTCTACGTACTATATTATGAAGAACACTTTACCTTGCTCCTGGGCTTTGCCTGCTGTCTTTAAAGCCTAAAAATAAAATGACAGTAGAATATTAACGAATGACCTGATGCTCCTGCTATTGCTTCAAAGCTCTGGATGCTGCGGGTTCAGGTTTGTATTTATTTACCTGTTCGGGATCCAACTCTTCCTGAAACACAGCCTCTTCGGTTGCACCTGTTGTTTCCGGCCACGTGACAACCAGCTTTAATCCTCCTTTTTCTGGCAAATCGAGCTCATGGGTCTTTTTGTCAAGAACTCGTTGCCTCACTAAAATACAAATAAAGAAAACGTATAACCTTGGTAGAAAGGATGGTTTGTATGTAAGTCTATGCGGCACTCTTATATCCTAATACTAGGTGACATACTCCTCTCCACTGAACACGGTAAAATATAACTAACGTCCAATAATCACATGAAAATATTTTTAGACTCATGGCACGAATGTGACACATACTGAAATTTGCTCAGTGAGACCATGTCATCCCTTGTTTGGCCCAACGGGAGCACAAGCTCATTTCAAGGCGCTCTCACTCTCACAAAATCTTTCTCTGGTAAATTTACCTTGCCAGTTCTGCAGTTTTGATCAGTGTCCCTTGATCTTAAGAGCTGTAGAAAGTCAGAGGTGTGGCAGCATACGGAGTTACATAAAATACTAGCTTTGTTCATTTGTAGAAGAGTCATGAGAAGAGCAAAAATATATAAACACATTATTATTTATTAGGTATATTACCCTCGTCGCTATTTATATTTGGTAATGCTCAGTAAAACCAGTTAGATGGGGGTCCTAATGCACTGGGTGCTGTGCAAACACATAGTACAGGAGTGGCCAACCTGAGCCTGAGAAGGAGCCGGAATTTACCAATGTACATTGCCAAAAAGCCACAGTAATACGTCAGCAGCCCTCCCCCCCTCCAATGCCTCCCACCCGCCAGCAGCCCCACCAATCAGCACCTCCCCCTCACTTCCCATGCTTCCCACCCGCCGCAATCAGCTGTTTCATGTGCGCAGGCTTGGGGGAAGGGGTGGAGTGGGACAAAGCAGGGGATTGGCAGTGAGCACTCCCTGGCACATTGGAAAGTTAGTGTCTCTAACTCCAGCCTTGGAGTCGGTGCCTATGAAAGGAGCCGCATACTAACCTCTGAAGAGCTGCATGTGGCTCCGGAGCCGCAAGTTGGCCACCCCTGACATAGAGGGAGACAGTCCCTGCACTAAAGAACATTGATCATAGGCCCCAGTTATGCAAACACTTATCTAGGTGCTCAATTAGATGTATGTGAGTAGTCCCATTGGCTATGATGTTTGCCAAAATGTTTGCAGGAATGGGGCCTAAAACTTTAAGCTCTTCAGTGTAGTGACTGTCTCTTACCATATCTGCAGAGAACCCAACACAGTGGGGCCCCAATCTCACTGGCATGTCAGGGCACTACCCTAATACTAATGGGATTACTTGCATAGGTGCTGGAATTAGAGGTGCTGGGGGTGCTGGCTTGAAGTGGTTTCCCTCAGATACAGGGTTTACAGTTTGGTTCAATGGCTCTCAGCACCCCCACTGTACAAATTGTTCCAGCCCCCCTGACTACTTGTGTGCAGAAAGTTAAGCATGAGTATAAATGTTTGCAGGATTAGAGTATCAGGTGGATCTAGTTCCTGCATTATGAAGGGGAACCTGTCACAGAGACTTTCCATTGTGCATACCAACATAAATGTCATGAGATCAATCCGGACATACCAGAGGATTAATCTATCCTCGATACCAGATACTGATTGCGCCATGAAACCTGAATATGTTTACTTTCTTGTACACCATTTTTGAACCATTGGCTCCATCTAGTGGATTTTCTGTTTTTTGTCGGGTTTTGTTTTGAAGGCTTGTTCAGCGTCAAAGATACATATTTGGCAGATTTGTGGTACGGACAAATGAATGGCCTTAATCAACATAAAAATTATAAAAAGAAAAAAAGAATTACTTGTACCTGGAGGTCTGAGATCTACTAATCTAACATGGGATGGGGAAAATGGACATATAGATGACACCCACTTTTCCATTCAGGAGCTATGAGTCAATCGTTTACAGGAATATGTTCTAAAGAGAAGAAGCTTGTAATAAATAATAAGATATTACGTCAATATAGCACTTTCATCCCCAGTGCTTTACAGAGCTTGGGGCAGGCTGTCAGTGCCCCTAACATGGCCACGCAGGGGAGTAAGGTTTATTTCCACACCTCTGTGCAGCCTGGCTGGATCATTGTGAGATCGGTGCTGTGAGAGCTGGCTCTGTGGGACCAATACTCCCTCCCCCAGCCCTCAAACATGAGCATGCGCATAGGGAATGGTAGAGAAAGGCAGGGAGTGGGGACTGAACCAGCTCCAAGGCCCCACCCCCTAATATAATGACCAACAGAACTGGGCTGACATAAACAGGAAGTAAGCTGCACCTTGCAAAAGGCTGCAATAATTTAAGTACTCCATTCTCCAAGTCACAATCCTTCCCAAGGAAGAAACATTTCACCCAGTCCTGAAATGCAGCCACTTCTGGGTGGCATGCAGGAACTCTTTAACAGCATAGAGCAACACTAACCAACAGCTTGCTGACTTCAAAATAATACCTCCGTCTGAACTTATTTTTACCTATTGATACAAAAGAGTTTTCTTTTTATAAGTTTGCTTAAATTTTGCATTTGGCAGCACTTTGTATATAGTAATGTTCTCTGTTTCTCCAGTTCCAGTGGGAGATGTAATTCATCAATAGGAGAAAATATTTTTAAAATATAAAAATTTGCAAAAGCCAAAAATTGGCAGGGGGACTCAAAAGTACACGTAATATCCGAAACTACGTGTGACCTATTTTGTTTTTTAAATCACTAGATTTTGATGATATCCCTTTAAGGACAGAGGAGGAGACTATCCTATTTAATGAATCAATGAATCAACAAGGCAAATTTAAGTTAAAGAGAAGGCAATTACACTGAGGCATTTGCCCAGGAACACAGGGCTGGTGTTGCTATTACTGCAACACTCCCCTAACTCTAGCAAAAATGCCAAGGAATCTTTAATGGTCTCAAGATGTCATCACCTCATTTTTATATCCCATCTGAAGGACAGCAGGGCTGGTTCCCTACTGCCTTTCATTTTGTGTGCTACTGTGCAAAGTGAGTACAAAGTGGCAACATCATACACCCATTTTGCACAGGCATATGTGCAAGGCCGTACCCAGCATCTCTAACAGCCCTGGACCCCTAGCTACTATGCAGAGATACTGGCATATAACAACCTCTGAATGCCACTTATTGAGGAAGAACGTCGCCACCTGAATTACCAGCACTGCTTCCCAAGTCAGGCGGCTTTCCAAGATGGAGGTCTTTCATCCAAATACTGATAAAGCCCAGTACTGTCCAGCTTGTGAGATCTAACACAACCAGATGTGATGTGAACAGCAGAGAGGTCTAAGTGGCACAGATTCCAGTCTCTCAGTGAAATAGCAAGAGAAGATTAACGTGACACAGACAGACTGGTTACCAGAGCCGGAGCCAGGATCTTTACACTGCAGTGTTATAGCCCTGCAGCCTGCGCCCCACAAGCCTGAGTCAGCGGACACCGGCCAGCCACACATATGTAACTGCAGTGTAGACATACCCTTACCCACAGTTCACAAGAAAGTGTACAAGCATGGATATTATTTGCCCATTTAGGATGGGAGCTTAAACATGTATTTAAACCCCAATGAAGTCAACAGGCCTCAAGCACATGCTTACAAGTTGAAGATTTTCCTGAATCAAGGCCTCCATGAACTGATGAAATTATAGGCATGTCCATGAGGGGTTGGCAGATATAAACTACAATTGTGAGGATAATTATATGAGGCCACTACAGGCCAGTCGTTTTCTGTGCATTGGTAAATTTCACCAGAGAAATTGACAAAGTACAGAGCTAGAACTTGAAACATTTCCAGTACTGGAAAGTTGTTCCAGCTTTTCCTGAAGAATCCTGTTAAAAAATACAGGAAATCCTCACAACACATGCTCCCAACATAGACTGATTTTTACATTTTATCCTTCCAAAAAAACAAAACAAAAAAACCAAGAGCTTGTAGGGGCCTAAGTGGGCCTTAGACCCCAGCGGAAAGTTGCCCCCAGTTGAAATGGTGCCCCTGCCTCTCTAGAGCAGTGGTCTCCAAAGTGGGGTGCACACGGGGATCCTTGGGGGTGCGCGGCAGTTGGGGCGGGAGTCTGAGCAGCTTTTTTCTTTATTGTTTTGCTTCGGCGCAGCAGGGGGTGCATGCTCAACATTTTTTTTTTACTGATAGGGGTGCGCGAGCAAACAAGTTTGGAGACCACTGCTCTAGAGCACCATTCGGTCACATCCAACTTGGATGGGGCCAAATTGGAGAGACATTCCCTGGGGCGAGGGAGCGGACCTGACACACACTCACTTTTGCCCCGGTGGCCCGTGGGCCCCTCACTTACCCGGACCCCGCAGGGTGCTGACACACACATTCTGATCTGACATTTGTTGCCCAAACTACATACAAAGCAAAGTGACCCCCCCCCACCCCCCTTACCTTCCTCCTGGGCGAAGCAAACCAGGACCTGGCCGGGCCGCTCCTGGATCTCGCACTCCCCCCCTCCGGATTTCTTCCCGCTCTGGAAGTAGCACAGGAGTTTCTTCCTCAGGTTCTTGGGGAGCCCCGAGCCCCCCCAGTCCCCCTCCACCAGCAGCGGGAAGGGGCACTTCGCCTCCCCGGCCATGACCAGTTGTTTCCGTCTGGCCTGGGCTGGTCTCCGTCTTGCAACAGGTCCAGTTTCACTTTCATTTCTCCGCACCGGATTCCCCTCCCCGAGTTCCTTTTTCTTGGCTGCGGGGCGGGCGGAAGGCAGAGCCGGTGACCAAACGTGCTTAGCGCTGACACAGCAGCAGCCCCCGCCCCAGGGAGGCCAAATCTTCCTTTGCTCCTGTCCTCACCTGTCTCCCCGCAGGCAAACGCAATAACCCTCCCCCGCGCCACCCAAAGCTCCTGCCCAGGGCAAACACATGTGTCCTGGACCCCCGCCTGGCCTTATCCCTTCCCTTCCTGCAGTCCCTTCCCTTGCACCCCTCATTCCCTTCCCCACCCACCAGACATACCACACACACACACACATACACACACACACACCGAAGTATAGTAAAATGTGTTATTTAGCAGAGAAGATCTGCCTGGATTGTGCAGTGTAAGCAACGAAACGACTTTCAGAGTATGGTGAAGCCAAAAGAGAGTGAGGGGCTGGTGT